CACAGTTTATTCCTACGTATTCCCGTCTGGAACGAGAAATCAGAGTCAACGTAGTTCGCCTACCTACTGGAAAGGAGGGGAAGGTTGCTCGCTAGGATATCGCATCCTATGCCTACGTACTTTCATACAGCATGAAAGATCAGAGCAAACGTAGTTCGGGCTACGGAAGACACAAACTTGTCTGAATGTTTTTTATCTCCTTATGAAAGGGTTTTTCCTGATTAAGAGTCCAAGCGGACAAAAATGACACTTTGATGTTTGTTATCAGTCTTTTACGCAAGAACTGTCTTTTATGATGTTTGCAATCTCTGATGCACTAGAGACTATGATTTGAGGGTGACTACGTCGTATGTCACCCTAAGGGTAACACACTAAGTAACCAGATTACTGAAGAGTGACCCTCCAGCAACCTTTCTCAAATAGCTTAAGGCTCGTAGCGTACGACATCGATTATCCTTATTACTTTGTTTTGAATTGTTCTGAGATAAAAGAGAAAGAAGTCTAAAAAATCCTAGGGTTGAAAGGGAATCAAAACTACCCTAATGTTATCATGCATGGATTACAACCTAATGTCTGTCATAATTCCCTCCTGCACAGAGGAAATCAGAGATCCTAGGGGATAAACGAAAAAGAAACAACAAAAATACAATAAACAGTAAGTATGCATGAGATGCAACAAAACAAGCAAGGCAAGGGAGTCCCACTCAACTTCGAACCTAAGAAAGCAACAGGAAAAGTGAATCAACTTCGCTTCAAGCCTAAAAAGCAAGCAGCACAAGCCAACAGACAATACAGAGAAAAATAAAAGATACAGAGGAGGCAGCCCAAGCAACAGCAACAAACTCCTACAACAAACAGCAACAACACGCTCTGAACAGCAAAGTTGAAATGACAGCAAAAGTCTTGTCTTTGAGCTAGATTCCATCTTCAAGCTTCTTAAATCTTCATCTCCAAGCTTTATCAAGCACACTCCAAGAAGAGATTTGTCATCAAGATCAAGTTGCAATGTTGGCATACTTGCTGAAAACCAAAGGAATTCAACAAGAACCAACATCGAAGTGGAAGTGTATCCTCAAAAGTTCTACTCTCTAGGGTATGCCCCACTTCCCTCCTAAGGAGAGATGGAACTTCCCTAAGAGGACTTTTCATCATAGGATAGAATAGAAGCAAACAATGCATTCTATGTTTGATGGAAGAAATGAACTAATTCTACAAAAGCTCTCCCTAAAAGCCTAATTCTACCAACTCCTAAAACAAACTTAAAAGAGAAAGAAAGCTCCACTCCAAGCCCCACTCTTATAGCCAAAGCATCTCCATCATGACCAGAGGCTCCTCTAAAAAGGAATCCAAAGTCTTCAAGCTCCAAGTCCACCAAACGCTCCAAACAAGGCAAAGCACTCAAGACAGAACACCGAAAGCAACAATCATTTGCAAAACCAAAAAAAAATAGCAAACTAAATTGTAAAATTCTAATAAAATTCCTATGTGAACATGCATGTTTGAACATTCTAAAATTCCAGAATCAGGACCTAAATCAATTTCTAGGTCATCTAAACAATTACTAAATGAAATTTGGTCATGGGAAACCATTACTTGGGAAGGCTCTAAACTACACACCTAAAACAGAATCTAATCAATTTTAAAAATTCTAAGAAAATTCCTGGGGAAACCTATGGATGTCTTCTAAATCATATCGAAAGAATCAGCTCAAAATCATAAAGCATCAAAGAGAACAAAATTAAACAAACAACAATATCAATTATGTATAACAATGGATATTAACACAAAAGAAAATTCGTAACTAATTCAAATAAAATCCTAAAAATGAAAACTCAACTCCTACGGTTTCTTAAGACAATCAAAATCTACAGAAAAAATTTCATAATTTTTCGATCATTTTTACTATTTTTAATGCAATTAATCCAAACAACTATTAAAACAGAAAAAAAGAACGAAAATGAATTAAATTAAATTTCACATACCGGCTTCGGAGCGTCGAAACGGAGTAGTTGAAGCTCGTTTTTTCTTGCCAAAAAGTGCGTAAAACCTTTGAAGTTTGTTGGAGAAGATTAAATTCTTGATAACTCTTGAAAATGCTTTGATCTTTCACTTTTTCTCTTCCAAACTCCAATGTCAATCTATGGTTTTTTCACAAATGAATCACCAACTCTTGCTTTGAACCTCTTCACAAGTATATATAGAATGTATTTGAAGACCCTAGAAAGTTCTAGATTGATCCAAGGAGAATGTATTTGAAGACCCTAGAAAGTTCTAGATTGATCCAAGGAGAATGTATTTGAAGACCCTAGAAAGTTCTAGATTGATCCAAGGAGAAAATCAACTTCTCATGTCATGAAAATCTCTTCTTATGCTACGCACATACCATCTCATGTTTTGGCTTGAAATTCACTTGGTTATGAGTTTAAATTCTCTCCAAATGAGATATTGGAGGTGTATGGATGGAAAGGAGCCTTGCATTTGCTTGGAAGTGTGGTTTTGCAATTGTGCCTTATGGTTCAAGTAACCAATTTACAAAGCAAGTCCTTGAAATAACCCTCAATTCAAAATTGTGGCAATGCCATTGTCTTTAAAATGCATTTTACAATCAAATTGGTATGTCATATGGCTTGTTTGTGACCTCTAACCCAAAATTTGATTTTTTCCACCAAACTTTATTTGACTTATTCCCTTTTTTTAGGCCATTTTAAGTGACTTTTTTGAAATAAGCCGATCAATCCACCATGATGGCTTATTTGACCTAAAAACATCATTTTAAGCACATTCCATGTTGAACAATTTTTCATTTGAGAAGTGGAACATGGAGATTTTGACCTATGCTCAAAAATGACCTGTAATTCAACTTTCCCAAAATACCCCTGGATTGCCAAGACCATAACTTGAATTCTACAAATCCTCTTGAGGACTTATAGTACTCAAACTAAATCTAAGATCAAGATCTACAAATGTTATGTTGGCCAAGAATCCATTTGAAAACTCCTTCATGAGCAAAAGTTGCTTGGAAGTCAAGTGACTTTCACAGACAAATTTCAGTATCCTCTGGGGACCGATAACTTGCAAGAACCATAACTTGAGTTCTATAAATCTCCTTGAAGACTTCTAGTACTAAAATTAAAGCTATTGAGATGTACTACAAGTTTCATGTTGACCAAGACTTAATTTGAAACTTGCATTTTGACTTATCTGGCTTGGAAGTTAGGCCTAAATTAGGGTTGTTTTTTACACTGAAACCCTAATCTAGTAACTCCTCTTCTTCTTGATTCCTTTTGATTTCTCCTTGGCACAACACCACACATATATCCACATATCAAATCATGAATTCCACAACCTCCAAGTAGCCCTTGATGCCCTCCAATCAACCATTTGACCTAGGGTTGACCTAGGGTTGACCCAGATGAAACCCTAGTTGACTGCATTCAACTGTAGCTCTGGTACTTGTATCAATGACTTGACTCATCTTCAAAATGGCCCTCTAGGTCTTCCATGATCTTTGTACACCTTCCATGGCCTTAGCCATGGCTCACACACTCATTGATGATCTTCAACATATCCCAAAGATTGGGAGAGAAATCCAATGGTTGACCTTCAAACTTCTCAAAGCTTCAACTTATTTCTTGATTACTTGGATGGTCTTGAACTTGAATAAAACCCCCTTGATGGGTCTCTTTCTGATAAGAATGGCACTTGGTCCCCTGTTAGATGACTTGTTATGCTATGATATGCAAATGATTAGACTATGTACATGGTTTAGTATGCAAATGACAATGTAATTGAAACATAAACCAGGTGAAATAGGTTGAGCAAATTTTAGGGTGCAACATTAACCACCTCTTGTCTTTTACATTGTAGAACCTCAGAAAACCATAACCTCTTCCCCTAATGTCTCTCTTATATGGTGCTACCACCTCATCAATAACACCAAAGCTCTTGAAGACTTCATACATCGCCTTAGCTTTGCATCCTTTCTGCATTGAGGTAAAAAAGAAGTTTTTCTCCCAAAGGATTCTTTGTCCAGAAGCTTCTTGCATTCTGCCATTGATTGATCCTCCTTGTTCACCTCTTCGGTTGATCACCTTTTTCCACTCTTCAGCTCCCTTAGGTTCCTTAATATTAACCACTAGATTGTAGACTATATAGTCAGCTACCATACAATCTATTGACATGTCTCTTGAAAGTGGTGTCCATAAAAGAAGGTTACAAGGCCTCTAACCCTAAAATCTTACAATAAAAACTAAAGAACAATTCAGTTTTTAAGTACACATTATTCTAAAACCATAAATCTTACACTTCCAATTGTCACTAACTTGATCCTTGTATTTGACGTTACACCCGCTCACCATTGGAAGAAGTACAAAGACTAAGACTATTATCCTGAAGTTGATCATCACCATTGACTGCACTTAAAGAACAATGTCCTACCATACCAGATTAATTAATGTATTAATGTAAGGTGATCGCTAATTATTTCTTGAAGCCTTCATGTCCGGTTCGGTTCGGAGAAAGGGATGAAGGAGTTACTTTCGGTGTGAGTGTGACACTTGCTTGGGCTAACTTAAATGTAGAAATAACTTCATCTCTCTTCCATGGTTCCAACGGTGAAAGAGATAGAAGAGGTGGTTGTCTCAATCAAAATGCAATGTGTCTCTTTGATATAGTTTCTAGAAAAATAAAATTACTAGTCCATGCTTATAATGTTACTCAACTCTCATAGATTGTATCTTTGCACTTAAAAAATTTAGAATAAATACAAATGCAAACACACAAAGGAACAATCTTTAACAAGAAAACAAAGCTAATTATTTATTGATTAGATAAGTAATCAGCTACATTACAACTAATTAAGGAAACTCAACAACATAAAACTCCATAATTTAAAAAAAAAAAGATACAAATTACATGCATGCAAAATCACAAAAGACCAAACTAATGACAACATTATACTATATAAGTCTTCATTTCAACCATACAAAGATTGATGCATATTAGTATGGCGAAACTCCGAGATTAGCAGAAGCATAAAACCCATCTTTCATCAGAGCCTGACCATCTCCTCCTTCCTAGACAAAATAGACAAAATAGAAAATGACACAAAATCAATCAATCAGAAACCAAAAGTCAGTGGATCGATCGATCCACATATGAATTATTTATCTGAAACATATTTTCAGCGAGAATAGAGGTGGATGATATGAAATGAGATGATTTACCTGCTGGCACACATTTGTCTTCTTCATATTCTGATCAGGCATGAGACCAAAGTGAATGTGTGGAAAGTGGGCCCACTGTCATACATAAAGTTTATGTCACATATCAAAAGATAGTCCAAAATGGACTAGTAAAAACCTATCATTCATTTTGATTTGTGGAAACGTAGCAGAAAAATACTATCATGGTCTTCAAAAAACTGGATTCTTGTGAATCTTAATTCACATGACTTTTTTCTAAAACCATTTACATGTTTTTGGTATGAAAAAATTCATCCTTTTATAAGTCATATTATTGTCTTCAAACCACTAGGGTTTTTAATTAGTTCCATATAATAAAATCAAGTTTTCAAAAAACGGTTCGTTACTGCGAAAACATCGCTACAAAATCGTACTGATACTTAAATATTATATTATTATTTAAGCTAAGGAGAATCATACATTCTTGGCAGCTGCACTGAAGGCTTCCCTGTGAGTGATATCAGGGTTGACAGACTTAATACGTTGGATCTCATCTCTGCAGATTTATACATACATGGACCATGTTCAGATTTAACTTCACACATTAATAACATTAACAAAGAAAAATTTAATACTAGATATTATAGTCAATAAATAAGTACAATGGTTTAAAATGAGTTGTTGTACTCACTTGATGAAGCGGTTGTATGCTGATGGAACTCTCTGTCTCTTTTCTGGAGCTGGACATTAACACACCATCATCAGATATTTTCAAAATCACTTTCATTTTTGTTGAATTTTTCATTATTTTAACTAGTTAGCCTCGTGAAAAAAGGACTGTGCCCTAAACTAGAGATTACAGTCTAGCTGTTCTTAGCTTCTTTTACATATATTTTGTATGATAAAATAAGGTGAAAGTATTTCATCTTTCTCAATACTTATAGAAGCATTTTAACATTTAGGGCAAGTACAGTTTAAAATATAGAAGGGTTTAAGGTAAATAGCTTTTCTTATAATTGATTATACTCAAATATAGATTATGAAAATTCTCACGTCTGTTTATGATTGGTGGCCTTGGAAGCTCATCAGCAACAGTCCTAGGAGGCATGGAGAACTCATTTGGTGTGTTTGTGAGGTTCATCATGAAATTTGGAACTTGGTTTGGCATCTCCTCTTGCTAAAAAAAAAAATCATGTATCAACAAACAATATTTGAAGACTGTGACTAAAAAATAGAGAGTTTAATATATAATTAACCAGAAGGTTATGAGTTGGGGAGAAGAAAGAGTGTCCCAAATGAAACTGGTTAGGAGATGGAAGAAGCAGTGCACGCATGTTAACAGGAAGGAGATTAGTGCAATGACCACATCTCACAGTAACAGTCTTGAACAAGCTAGTGCAAGGAACACTCACCTGCATGATAAATAAACAAAGTTATAAAAATGGAGAGAAATGAAGAAAAAAAAACCTAGGTAGAGATGTAAAAAGTGTGAGAAAGTGGTGTATAGATATATATACAGCAAGGATGGTGTCACAGATGTTGCAGTGGACATAACAAAGTTGCTCGGAAGGGGGGAGGTGGTCCAAGGATAAAGAAGAGGAGGACATGATATGATAGATTATATTCGGTATTGATGATTGGTCTTTTGATTGAACTGATTGATTGATAGATGGATGGACAAGTTAACAAACACACTTAGGATATGCTTTTTTTGATTATGAGTTGTGAAAGAGAGGTGCAGAGAGACAGTTCATAGATAGAAAGTAAAGAGTGAGTGAGAGTGATATGATATATATAAAGACCTAATTCTGTTCTATTCTTTTTTTTTTTTAACTTAATGAATTATTTAAGAGAGGGAACACTTCTCGATGTTTCTCTCTTTGTTTTTTTTGGTTAGGTTGGAAACAATATAGTTTAACTTAGTATTTGAATATTTATTTCTATAATGTTTGATGTAAAAAGATTTGAAAAAAATTGTGTGAAAAACATTTATGTATTGTTTATACATTCATTCACATACACCATTGAAGTCTGTTGCAAATGGTTGATGAGCAAGTTTGTTGCTAAGCTATATGCAGGTAATATTAATTAGAAATTTTAAAATAATTCTTAAAAACGTTTTTATTCCAAGGATTATAATCATTAGAAATTTATAAACTATTATAGGAAGAATGGTCGGCTTGGTGCAATTTAAAATAGGTTTCGGTTTGATTATTTTAAAAATGTTGTTGGTAGGGGAAGATCACGTACGCTTAGGTCTTTGAGTCATCCAGAATATATTATTCGGACAACAATGATTTTTTTTCTATTTTTTAATTCTCCTAATAATCTTCAGTACGTGGAATTACGAAAGGATTAGAGTCGATAGTGGTTGATTGTTCAGGGATAGAAGATTTTTCTTTAAAATCAATCACTAGGGAGGAGATGTTGATTTTAACTCTACCATTTTCAAAGGTTGAGATTAAGCGGGTAGTTTGGAATAGTGGTAGTTTTAAGAGTTTTAGACTGGATGAAATTTATCTTGGCTTTATCAAAGGCTTTTGGGACGTCTTAAAAAATGAGTTGATGCATTTTTTTTTGCAGAATTTTACAGTAATGGCAAGTTGACCAAAGGCGTAAATAGTTCTTTTATTACTTTGATTCCTAAAGTTAATAGTCTTCAACTTTGTCAGATTTTTGACCTATTTCTTTGGTTAATTGTCTATACTATAAAATTCTATCTAAGGTTCTTGCTAATAGACTGAGACATGTGATTGAAATGTTATTTATAAGTCTTAGTCGGCTTTTGTTAATGATAGGCAAATCTTGGACGACATTTTTATAGTTAATGAAAAGATGGATGATGCGCGTAGTTTGGAAAAAGAATTATTATTATTTAAGGTACGTTGATTTTGAAAAAGCATATGATTCGATGGATTGGAGGTACTTGGATGATGTTATGTGTAAAATGAATTTTCCAACTCTATAGCAGAAGTGGATATTAGAGTATATGACTACAATAACAGCTTTTGTATTTGTAAACGGAAGCCCAATTGATGAGTTTAAGATGGAAAAAGGTCTTCATCTAGGTGACCCGCTTTTCCCTTTTCTCTTTCTGATAGTAGTGAAAGGTTACATGTTTTTAATGAATGTTGTAGGGGGAAAAGGAATGTATACATGATTGGGGTGGGGAGCAAAATGTTGTTGTTTCTCATTTACAATTTGGTTATGATACGCTACTGGTGGAGTTAAAAGTTTGACAAATTTCTGAGTTTTGAAGGCGGTGTTGACTCTTTTTGAAGTTATGTCAGGATTAAAAGTTATCTTTCATAAAAGCATGTTGTTTGTGTTCAAGGTCTCAGAATCTTGGTTGCATGAGGCAGCGATGGTTATGAACTATAAGCACGATCGACTATCTTTCTGTATTTGTGGCTGCCTGTTGGTGGAGATTCTAAGAAGCTTAATTTATGGTATCCTCTGATTGACGTATAAAAAGAAGATCTTCGGGATGGAAGAGTCGCTTTCTTTCTTTGAGGGGTCATTTGATTCTTATTATGCATGTCCTATCCTTCATTCTAGTTTATTTTCTTTCTTTCTTTAAGGCGCCCTCATGTATCATATCTTCTCTTGAATATATTTTAATGCTTTTTTTGGGGAGGGAATAAGGAAGGTGAGAAATCTCACATTTCTGGATGTGAAAAATTAAAGGGATTGACATTTATTTATAGGCTAAAGGATGGTTTAAAAAAGAAAACTATCCAGGGAAAAAATTAATTGTCCAATCAATTGACTTCTTATTTCATCGATTGCATAACTTAAATAATCAATTATTTTTTCCTATTTTAGAAAGATTTGATAGAGTTTTTACCCTTAATTAAAACATTATCACAATCAATTATGGACTAATTTTTCTCTTATCCAATCGATTGGGAATATACTCAAATCGATTGGACAGTTCAAAATACATGTCCTAATCATTCTGACATATGGCTAGAATCTAAAAAAAAATTTAGTTTATTTTATTTGAGAAATAGAGGCTTTAAAAATGGTTTTGGTGTGTGTGTGATTTAGCCATATTACTTTACGTAAAAGCCTTTGTGTTTTTACAAAGCACTGATCACTCAGATACGATACAACGAGTTTTCATACTATGAAGTTTTAAGTCATTGCTGAATACACTAATCACATAAGAGCTTTGCTTGAATCTTCTTGAAGACGAGTCTTGAGATATCCTTAAGTAGGACGTCATCATCAGTGCATATCACGGTGGTCATTAAAAGCAACTCTTCGACTTTATTTGGAGGAAGAGTTTAAACAAACTATCATGTGCATATTTGATTGCTTGACATACTTGTTTGTCTTTATGATTAATGTCAAGTTATATTAGTTGACATCAAAGTCTCATTAAGGTTAGGCTGCTTCTTCATAATTTATCATCAGTAAAACCATGATAGGTATGACTTGCTTATCTTTGATCACTTCTAGATAAAATTTGCAAGCACATAGTTCCATATCTTCTTAGTTCCAAGAAAGATGATCCTCCAAATTGGTCTGAATCGGGTTAGTTAAGAAGGTTGAGTTTGGTCTTTCGACTTTCTTTTGAGAATACTCGTTACTAGGTAGCATTCCCATCTAAATTTGGTTTCAGAGACTTTTCTCTATTTTTCAAATTTATAAATGGATGGTACGTGAGGTATGAAGGTGTGCTCAGGGGTTGATATTTGGGGACCATAAATGGATAAGTTTGTTCTTTGTTCATGAAGAACCTCTAATTGCTAAGTTTTTTTCAACTCTCCAAAAGGTTTGTCTCAATGCGAAAAATGGCAAGTGAATTTGGAGATACTCTAGAGATAACTCATTCTTTGTGGCGCCTGCCTACCATGTCCAGACTAGAGTCGGTTATATTTCTGAGGAGCTAGTAGCAAATTTTTTCCCAACTCTCCCCCTCATTTGGGAGAGCTATGCCCCTTTTAAGGTGGTGGTTTTTTTCCTGTTAACTTGTGTGAGATAGTTTTTTGTCTAAGAAAAACTTATTCAAGAAAACAATTATTGAACTGGAGGGTACCTTATGCGCTCTTTGCGGGAATTAGATTGAGTCAACTTTCCGTTTGTTCATGACCTGTAGTTTGGCTTCTAGTGTCTGGTACGAGGTTTTTAGATGGTTATAAATTCATTCCGCTCTTCTTAGGAATTTTAAATTATTAACTTTTTAGTTTTTCCTTTCTCTAGTTCCTACGACTAAGTTAAGGAGTATGTTTATTTTAATTTGGCATGTGGTAGTGTAGACGACATGGTTTGTCCGTAATGATTAAAAAAATTTGATTCATCAACAAATTAGAAAGAGGTGGAGAATAAAAGTATCTCTTTGGCCTAGAGTTGAGTCTGTGTCAAATACCCTTGAACCACTATCTTCTTCAAAGATTGGATTCAAAACCTTATCATGTGTTTAGCCAATAACGGATCCAAATTGTGGCTTGACTCTTGACACACGATGATTTTTTGTGTGTTGTATATGGTTCACGTCCTTAATTTGATGTGAATTTGATGTTTGAGTTCTAGCTTGGTCCATATGAATGGTGACTTGTTTAATGTGTAGTTGCGGACTGGTTGTGATAGTTTCTTTATTTTTAAGTGTTGTTGACCTGACACTTCTTATGTTTGTTGACTTTATTGTTTGTTTTTTTAGGATTTATTACCCTCCATTTTTAACAAAGGATTTCGTCATTAGAAAAATTTCAACTATTGAATCAGTTCGATAATCCAAAAAATCAGTTGAATGATATCTTAAAAATCTCACCGATTCAATAATTCTATCCATCACCATCATAGTTACGAACAAGTGATATATGCAAAGGGTTTGATTTGTACATGAACATGGCAAAGCTATTATTATATAATTATAACAACATACTATGAACAATATATGTGGTTGGAATTCCAATGTATGAGAGAGAGGGAGAGAGAAAGAGAGGCGGCAGATGTGGGGGAGAGGAGCCAGAAAGGGACGTGTGCATGGGGTGATAGCTTTCACACACTCACCTGTTGTTTTCAATAGTTAAAGAGGGTCTTGTCTTGTGGTGTTGTATGATATCAAAACCAACTTTTTCAAATAAATTTTCCTAAATTTCCGAACAAAAGAACAACCAAAACCCCACTTGCCACTATCTCTCTTCCGTTTCCTTAGGGCTCCTCCCTCATTCAACACTCAGTGTAACTATAGAAACTCCATAATATAACACCTTCTCCATTTTTTTATTATTATTTATGAAAAAGAGATAAACATGCATGTTTACTTTTCTTGATTTGACAACACCCCTCTCGCTGAACCCTAACACAGTTCTGATACGCATTTAAGTCAGTAAAAAACATATCAGTCTGCACACTTTCCTCTTCCTCCTCCTCACCACCTTTGTCCTTTACTATTTTTCCTATTTTCTTCAAACTTCATCTATTTTACATTTTTCTCATCTTTACTACTTATAATTAAAAGCTTTTCGTTTTTTTTTTTGTGAAATTTATGGTTGTCAACTCTTTTCATGATCCATATATTGATCGGTTTGAAGGGAGATCTCATCAGAAACCTACTCCATTATCTCTATGCTCATGTAAGCTAGCCTCTATGGATGTC